AACACAGAAAACATCTTTCACAATGGCCTCAAATAATTTAAAATATCTTGGGGTAACTATAATCAAGCAAGTGAAAGACTTATATGATAACAACTTCATGTCTTTGAAGAAAGAAATTGAAGATATCAGAAGATGGAGAGATCTCCCATGCTCATGGATCAGTAGGATTAACATAGTGCAAAGAGCCATCCTACCAAAAGCAATCTACAAAATCAATGGAATCCCCAGCAAAATTCCAACACAATTCTTCACAGACCTTGAAAAGATAATGCTTAACTTTATATGGAAATGAAAAAAAAGAGGATAGCTAAAACAATCCTGAACAATAACTGCTGGATGTTCCACCATTCCTGATTTCAAATTATACTACAGAGCTATAGTAATAAAATCTCATGGTATTAACATAAAAACAGACACATTGATCAAAGTAACTGAATTGAAGACACAGACATAAATCCATACATCTATGGACACTCATTTTTGATAAACCAGAAATACAGACTGGAAAAAAAAAAAAGACAGCATCTTCAAAAAAATGGTGCTGGTCAAACTAGGTGTAGGCATGTAGAAGAATGCAAATAAATCATCACCCTGAACAAAACCTAACTCCAAATGTATCAAATATCTTAACATAAAACCAGATACAATGAGCCAGATAGAAAAGAAAGTGGGGAATAGCCTTGAATTCACTGCCACAGGAGGAGACTTCCTGAACAGAACACTGACAGTCCAGGCACTAAGAACAACAATTAATACATAGGACCTCATATCTGAACAGCTTCTGTAAAGCAAAAGGACACTGTCATTCAGACAAAGCAGCAGCCTACAGAATGGTAAAAGATTTTCACCAATTCCACATCCAAAAATCATTCATAAATATATGAGATTTATATATATACCAGATATATATACATATATAACATATACATATAGTATATACAGTATATGTGTATATATACATATATAAAAGGAACTGAAGAAACTAGCTATCAAAACACCAAATACTCAAATTTTAAAATGGGGTACAGATCTAAACAGAGAATGCTCAAAAGAGGAAACTCAAATGGCCAAGAAACACTTAAAAAGAAAAGTTCAAGATCTTTAGCCATCAGGGAAATGTAAATCAAAACTACTTTGAGATTCAATCTTATACCTGTCAGAATGGCTAAGACCAGTAGCACAAGTGACAGCTCCTGCTGGGAAGATATGAAATAAGGGTAACAATTCATCCACTGCTGGAGGAGTGCAAACTTGTACTGCCACTATGGAAATCAGTGTAGCAGTTTTTCAGGAAGTTGAAACTAAAGCTACCTCAATATCCAACCATACCACTACTGGGCATATACCTACAGGACACTTCATCTTACAAGGGCACTTGCTCAATCATGTTCATTGCTGCTCTATACATAATAGTCAAAAACTGGAAACAGTCTAGATGTCCCTCAACAGTAGAATGAATAAATAAAATGTGGTACATTTACACAATGGAATATTACTCAGCTGTTTAAAAAAATGACACCATAAAACTTGCAGGCAAATGAATGGAACTAGAAAAACAATCATCCTCTGTGAGGTAACCCAGACCCAGAAAGATAAATACATTATGTATCGTATTATATGTGAATATTAAACATGAAATAAATAATAACCAACCTACAATCCATACACTCAGAGAGGTCAGAGACCACGGGGGAACACATGGATCTCCCTGTAAGGGGTGAACAGAATAGATTTTATGGGCGGACTTGGGGCAGGTAGGGACAGGAACTGGGGGAACAGGTTGGGAATGGGAGGGGAGAAATGGTTAAGGGAAAGAATGCAGGGAGAGACAGCTGGAATTAAGGGGCATCTAAGGGATGGATGGAAACCTAGAGCAGTAGACACTTCCTAAAATAAATGAAGGCAATCCTAATAAGGTCTCCTAATAATGAGGCAGACAAGAATCCCAACTTGGCATCTCTTGTCACCAAACAAGTCTTCCAGTACTGGGACTGCACTGCATTCAGTTGAGTTCTCAGCCAAGGTGGGATCCCATAGAAATTCCCAAACAACCCAGGTTGTTGCTAAGACAAAGGGGTGCTCTCCACAACCTGACAGAAAGGCCCCACTGCCAAAGACAACAACCATAACAACCATACAACTCATTGAGCATAGAAAAGTCAAACTGGTGCCAACATGAAGCCTTCACCCTCATGTTCTAGTGTCTTTGGTGCAACAAAGTACTCTACAGGCTACCAAAAGAGAAACATAAACATCAACCCAGCCACAAAACCTTTGACCTACCATCTGTCCTGCCTGCAAGATGTGCTAGGGCAATGGTAGCACAGAACTTGTAAGAGTAGCCAAACGATGTCTAATTGACTTTAATTGACCTAGGGTAAAACCAAATACTAATGGTCTTTTTAAAAAGTATCAATAAAATGACTTCTAATGATATTCTACTATAATCATGGGTCAGTGCTTTATTCAGGAGAAGCTGTGGAATTCCTATCCCCTTCAGGGCCCTCAATCCTTCCCTCAACTCTTCTATAAGAGTCCCCAAGCTCTATCCACTGTTGGGTTGTGGGCGTCTGCATCTGTTTGAGTCAGCTGCTGGGTAGAGCTCTCAGAGGACAGTTGTGCTAGACTCCTGTCTGCAAGCATAACAGAGCATCATTAGTAGTGTCAGGGATTGGTGCTTGCCCATGGGAAAGGTCTCTAGTTGGGCTCCTTATTGCTTGGCCATTCCCTTAATCTTTGCTCCATCCCCTATCCCTGAAGATGAACAGAATAGTTGTCAAGAGATAACAAAATTCTGCCATCACTATTCAGAGTAGCACCCCATCAGTGAGTGTGAACTGCTAGAACCTGTGCCAGCAAAACCAATTTTAAAAGCTATCTAAGATCTAAATTTTTATTAGCACAACAGACTAGTAAGATGTTAAGCCTTTAAAACAGAGAAGGTGAATGCTTTCAGTTATCACACAAAGTTTTAAGGTTTCTGTGTACCTGCCACATTAACACATCTCAACAGCCCTTCTGTCCTCGGCAGCCTTAATTCCTGGCCTGGCTATCTTCTTGGCTATCGTTAGCACCTTTCTGGGGCAATATCACCAAAACAGTAATGTGTCATGAGTATTTTTGATTTTCATCAGTAACAACTTTGGCACACTAGTCACTGAATTTCTTCTCTCTGGCTTTGTAATCAGCACGTTTTTTCACCATGAAGCCAAATAGTAATAATAATAACAACAACTACCCTGTGTTTTCTTAAACTCTTCCATAGTCACAGCCCCTTTCCATTTCTGTTCACTAAGGTAGGTGTCCACAGGCTTCATAATAGGATCCCACGTACGGGCGTATCCTACTGCAACGCAGACAGAACTACTTCCTTTGGTTTCTCAAGACAGGGTGTCTCTATGTAGCTCTGACTGTCCTGGAACCTGCTCTGTAGACCAGGCTGAGTGCTGGGATTAAGGGTATATGCCACCACTACCTAACATCAGACCTCCTTTCAAAACATGAGAGCCTCATCTCTAGCTCTACAGTCTGCCTTTCCTTCTCATTAACTTCTGCTCACCACTTCCATGACAGAACTGCCTCAGTTTATCTTGCTTCTCAGGTCACGTCTGCTGGCTGGTCACTCCAGCCTGACCCTTCTGTAGGATGTTTCACACTTTGAAGGCCTGATTTTGGCACTACTGATAAACCTAAGCACTTTCTCTTTACCTATAAACTATTATGACTAAGGATATTCATCAGGCTTTTTGACATTCCCAGCAGCAGAAAATAAACAAAAAGCTAAGAAACCCCCTAAACCCTTTGTGGGACATGATGAGAAAATTCCACTGCTGTGTGTGATCTACAAATAGTGTGTGTGATCTACAAATAGTGTGTGTGATCTACAAATAGTGTTTTATTATCCCTGTGAGCAGAACTGAGTTGGGGAATCTGGACATGGATGGCAAAAATATATCCAAGATGATAGGGCATGGCTGGGCTTTTTATACCATGGGAGTCTAATTAAATGATATTATGTACCTGCATTTTGACTGTGACCTGCCACATGAGATCAGATGTGGAACTTTCCACTTACAATGTTCTATGAGTTCTTAACATATTTCAGATTTTGGAGTATTTTAGGGTTTGGATCTCGATCTCTCTCTCTCTCTCTCTCTCTCTCTCTCTCTCTCTCTCTCTCTCT